GAAGGAAGGAAGGAAGGAAGGAAGGAAGGAAGGAAGGAAGGAAGGAATATAGTTGAGGAATCACAGTATAATTTGTGCCTTACTTGCTAGCCCTTTTATAAACTGTGCAGATAACTAAAGGGCTGATGATAAAATAAAGCCATTCCTATAATAACATAACATTACTAAGCAAATTCATACAGGAATTAAACACTTTTCTGTATTAATTTTTTGAGTTATGCTTTCTTTATAATGTCAAACTGATGTGACTTGATGAAAATAGAGGAAGGTACATAGAGCTCGCTTTCAGCTGCAGCAGAGCCACAGCACTGCAAACACGCAGATGCCTGGCCCTCATCTGCACAAATGGGCCTTTCAATCAGTCCTCTTACTTTGTCCCATCAATAACTTACTCTTCAGCAAGACCAAAGCCACCAACTCCAACATTCCCTTTGCCCATTTCCAAACACACTGAGGAGTGAATGGTGTCTACTGTACCTTGTGCCACTCCCCGCTCTGTGGGGTAAAACACATCTTGACAGACCTGTATTTATGGCCAGCTCAATTCGTGTTGGAATTAATTATAAGGATGACCAAAATCATCCTGCAGGATGCTCATCTATATTGAACTTTGGTCAGCTTGAGTGGGTCTACTTGTGTGGCCTGGGTGCATATGGGTGTTTTTGAAGATGTGTGTATGTGTGTGTGGGGATTAAGACAAAACTAAAAATGACCTATGAAATGTGACTGTTATCAATCTGTCTGTATGGATAAATTCATTATATCTTAATTTGTTAATGACATTTGAACAAATAATTTATTCATGCGTCAGAATTCAGCTGAATATCATGCAAAATCATATAGTTTTTACTTTCAGGACATTAAAATAAAAAAGGAAAAGATTATGTATAATCTAAAGTTGGCAAAAAATCTTTAAATTAAAGGTGTGTTAGGATTATTTTTATTGATGATGTGTAAGTCTGTTAAACCCTATTAATACCTACATGTTGTGTCAGAACTAATGTTTTCCCATAAAGTAAACCAAATAAACAATAAAAAATAAGAAATGGATATATCCATGTGTCCATGCAGTATAAAAAAACTAAATACAGCTAAAATTAGTCTTTGATATTTTTTTTGTAGGTCCTGAGTCATAGAGGTTAGCCAACTAAGGAAGCCCCCACTGACAGGCGTTAGTTTTCTGTTTAAATAAAACTAATAAAAACCAGTAACCTCAAGTTATGTCTAATCTAAAAAGCTACCAGTATACTTTGACCTAAGTAAAAGAAATATAGAAAAATACATGACCTCATATAAAATAAATAGCACTTTTTTAATGATGTCCCCCAGTTATGTTCAATCCCATAAACTATTTTTTGTGAGTTACCGTTTCTATAGTGGACATGTTACTGTTTAGTTTAAAATACTTTTGGTAAAATGGTCCTTAAGACCATTTGGTAATTTATTAGCCTATAGGTTACTATGATTTGGCATCGGTTTATGGTACAGGGTGACACTGTCTTTACTTGGAAAAATTAAAAATAGTTCACACTTATGACATTTTGTCATTCATCTGGGTTATTTTTGTTCTTACTAAATGGTAATTGAGTATTTTTTTTGTCTCCATGTTGTCTGGAAACCATTTAATACCTTAATTTGCTTACAAGAATTACAGAGGACTGTACTAATTACATAAGCTGCTTGGGAAGGGAATAGTTCTGACATGCAACAGGCAGGTATTATTAGCATTTAAAGTTCAAACAGAAAACACATACTCATAGTTCTCATTTTATAGTATGTACGAGATGAAATACATCCCAAGATAAAAAAATTCCAGCATTTTGTTGTTAATAGCATAAAATAATTCACTAAGATAGCAGACGACCCAGAATTCCTCATTCGGTCACGTGACCTACTAGGATGCCATGACGCTAGTTGAGTAAGGAAGTAGTCATTCTACATAGTGAGTGTATAATATTTACTCCTTATCGTTTGAAGAGGACGAATAGGAAGCAATCTGAGTCTTAGTGGTTTGATTAATACTCGCTGGTTTAATCACCGCTGCACTGATCTTATGCAGAGCTGGTGGAAGTTTATTATCTCTCAGATGATGTTGTGCTTTCATTAGTTTAAACCAGAGTCTAAGCTTTTGTTTAGAGAGGAGATCACAGGAATCGGATTGGTTCTGAGGTGGCTGGGTTTGGTTCGGCTGGCAGCCTGCTGCTGCGGCAGGGTGTGAAGGCTGGCGGTTAGTGTTGGAGCCCTGCGTGTGGTAGCAGGCTGTGCTCCGCTGCTGAGCCTGGATGGGAAAACCGGTCCTTCATTAATCCGATCGCAGCGAGCGGTCCAAGCACCGGATCCTTTCTAATTTTTCCAGTTCCATCAAGCTTTTCCGATGCGATACTTCGCAACCTATTGGCTCACTCGCACACACCTGCTCTCCTTCTGTAATGTTTTCCAGCCATTTGCAAGTTTTACTAATGCTTATGCAAATAAACCAGTCCCTTTACTTCCTCAAGTTAGCACCAACATTCAAACTGAGAATTCAACCGCTGCAGAATCATTACTTTCATGTCAATGTTGAGATCTTAACTAGAGATAAATATTAATATATTCTGGACCATACATTTTTTATGAAACAATTATCTACACCGTGTTTTTTTCAGTAAGATTAATATTTTTTGTACCACTTCTGTGTAAGTATTACTTTTTTTTAATTATCTTGATCAAAAAGTTGTTGTGTTGAGATCTCAATATTCTATTTTTAAATATATTGAAAAAGTTTCCCTTGTTCATAGGAAATGTACTATTTTACAATGTTAAACTAGTAGTTAATGTCAAGGAGGTGACTTTGTTTTTCTTTGCATAGACACGTGCTGTGCTTGCTGTACTACTCTAGGCATCCTCCAGGACAGAGAGCCTCGGTAGGTCTGTGGTAACAATGAAAGCTGGGGTGAGCTAGGGCAAAGATCTCTGGCTCTTCCCCACATAAACCTTTTAATATGAGGCCTCCTCAGAACCAGTCGGCCATCTAAAAGCACTAAACCCTGTAATTGACCTTAAAAATACTTTCCGTGGAGGTCGCCAGTCATGTCATTGGCCTTCGGCCCAAGCAGCGGCTGAATCTCTTCAGCCCAGAAGGAGCCTGGGAAGGCCTCACAGGGTATATTTAGTGGCCCTATCCTTTTGAGAGGAGCAGGAGATGCAGATAATGCCAGTCTGCATATAAAACCACTGCCCACGAGTGTGCCGCTGACAGTAACATTTCTCGCTCCCACGGGGATATTTTTCCTGAGGTCACAGGTTAATTAAATGAAAAGCACAATACAGATGACATTAACAAACACCAAATGGCAAGCTGTAGAGGAGATCAGACACCTCACAGAGATATGCTTCTATTCTACTATCACTGGCATTTGCCATAAAAAGCCTAAGTAATATAGTCATTTAGTGTGACGGCATAATCTCAGACTTAAATGTGCGAAAATCCTAACCTTAAACACAAGAACATTTATTCCTTGGGGATAAATATCCTAACTCTAATTTAACAGTTGCAGAAGTACTTGCAGCACTAACAATCTCTCTAAAACTGTTGTAACTGAAGCATTTTGTATGCTGCCTCTATAACCTTATGAAACCTTGCAACAACTTGTCTTTTAGTAGACTTTTTATTTCCAAAAGGAATAAATATAACCTGATACAGTGCCTCAGCTGTCTTAGCCACTGGCCACTTGGTTGGATGAGGCCCCATTTGTATCTTACGACACCACACAGAGAGCAGGATGGAAAAAAAGACAAATAAATGTAAATTTCCCAGGTGAAGAACTGAATATATATATATATATATATATATATATATATATATATATATATACATATATATATATATATATATATATGTATATATATATATATATATATACATATATATATATATATATATATGTATATATATATATATATATATATATATATATATATATATATATATATATATATATATATATATATATATATATATATATACATATATACAGTGTGTTGGCGTGTTTGTGTGGAGACTTGTTTTTATCATGGTTTGGGGATTTTAACCTGTTCAGAAAGTCACGTCATGGGGACCTAAGTACTTATGGGGACCAAAATCCTAGTTCCCATATAGTACAGTTCTTTTCTTTGAGTTGGTGTTAGGGTTAGGTTAGAGTTAGGCCATATAAAATGATGGTAAGTCAATGAAATATCCCCATAAGTCATGAAAACACGACTGTGTGTGTTTGTGTGTGTGTGTGTGTTTGTGTGTGTGTGTGTGTGTGTGTATGGGTAACCAGCTTGCAGTAGAGGACAGCCGTACTGATGGATGTGGCCATCCCAAATGATGGAAACATTAGGAAAAAACAAAATTAGAAATTTGAGAAATAGCAAGAGATCAGAGAAGAACTAGAAAGAGCCTTGAAGTAGAAGGCAATTGTAGTTGCCATGGTCATCTGAGAACTCATGGCAGTAACCCCCACACAAGAGAAGTGACTCCAGCAGATACCTGGAGCATTGTCAGACATCTCAGTCTAGAATTGCATAGCTCTAGGGACAGCTAAGGTATTGCCAGGAACCCTCAATCTCCCTGGCCTCTTGACAGGACCTGAGCTTGAGATGAAGGAACCATAGACCTGGTATAGGAGTATAAGGGGTTGGTTCAAAGAGATCTTTTATTAAAAAAAAAAATATATATATATATATATATATATATATATATATATATATATATATATATATATATATATATATATATATATATATATATATATATTTATATTTATATATACATAAAATTTCACTGTTTTATATTGATGTTTTTGTCTTTTCTTATATCATAAACATGGATGTTCCAAATCTCTGTATTGGCCTGGCTTGGTCAGATAACCAAGTTTAGGTAAGAAACCCTAACCTGTTCAAATTAATTTGTTTCAAGTTAAATTTGCAAGAAGTATGAAAATGTAGAAAGGCAGTTAATGCCAACTGTTACGTACTGTATGTTGGCGCTCTCTGACGTTGTGGGGCTGTATCACTTCCAAAGCCCTCAGGAATCATGTCCACATATCACCGCATCGTGACTTCTTTACTGGAATCTGTGGACTGAAAATAGGTGGTTATTGAGTATTTGAATAGGTAAATGAACAGGTTGATATTTGCCCTAAAAGCATAGGGCCAGAAAGGAAAAAATAAAACAAAAAAGATGGCTCAGATATCAAGATATCCTCATTATATGGACATCTTAAGTCTTCAATCTGAGTTCTACAAAAACCAAAGACAGACCCACAACTCAGTTTGCCGTTGTTCAAACTTTTTACCATAAGCCGAAATACACTTTGATGTACATGTTGACCAAAAAAGAAGACTTAAAGCAAAAAATATATATATTTTTGGTTGTTTGTTTTCTTGAAGTACGCAGTGATAAACTGAGCATTATATATTAGATGACATGAACTAACTTATTTTTGTAGGAAACATTGTATCTCTAAGCCAAATGATACCTATTTCTTTGTAATGACTGTTTTTCTACTTGTCCTGTTCTAGACATTTTAGATGGATAATCTTCTTACGAGTAAAAGCGGATGTTTGTGGTCTTATTCAAATAAAAATGAAAACATAAAATAGGGTTAATTACAGACTAATCTTTGTTAAATCCAACAAGGGATCATACAAAGTGTAACATTAATTAAACATGAATTGTGATCACCTGTGACACATGCAGAATAATAGTATTGTGATAAAAGATAAACACTTTAATGGCTTTTTCTGGGTCTCTACCAACTGTTTTGATGTGGGATGAGTATCAAAGTCATATCAGAGGAGGATATTAAATTGCTGGCTTAATAAGAATTGTTATTTATTTTATGAACAATAAGTTGTAATGAATAATTTTTTGCAAAACCGCAAAACATAACACTCCACAAACATCAAACTATACAGATAGCATACAGTGGATATTGTTACTTTTGTTGTCAACACTATTGTTAACACTATGAATTGGTTTAAAACTAAATGTTGTGCACAGGTTAGCAGTATAGTCCCATTACTTAATGTTATAACCGAACTGAAACAAACTATAAAAGTAGGTAAGTTTTATGTAGAGTAGCATCTGTTAATGAGCTTTTGAAGGCATGCAGGGACAGATGTGTATGGCCAAAAAGTCTTAAAATACTTTTTTTTATGTTCAACTCCACAATCACTGTGATGTATATTCAAATGAATTTTGTGGATACCACTTTATCTCCATATGTTTCCAGCTGTAGATCCATTAAATGTGACTGGCAGCATAAGTGTCCACAACAAAGAGAGAGTGCATGCCAAAGCATCCCCAAACTTAAACTCTTTCACCTGTTGTCACTCAAATGCTATGCTCCTGATGGTTTCTCTTAAAGACTTTTGTCAGAGACATCTGGAAAACAACTTATGAACCATTCCATGAAATATTAAAGCTGCACAGGAATCACACTTTTTCCTCTGTGTTGTAAATATTTTAAACATGAAAACTTGAGCTGATGTAAGAAGAAAAGCTCAGACGTCTGCCTGTGTGGAACTCCTCAGTCAGGCAGACATTCCATAAAATGAAAGTCTCCTGGCATCTCAATACGCAAATACTGGGACACGGATGACGGCAGCAGAGTGACGATACAAGGAAGAAAACATCTGAGCATGGTTAAAAAAAAACTCCATGAATGCCGACTGGCCTTTAAGCCCAGTAGGTGATGTAATGAGTGATCCAAGCAACAAGTGGAGATTGACTCCTCACAGCTGGCAGCTGATGTGTTGCGCTTCTCACATCTGTCAGGGTCTTATCAATCTTACTTTGGAACATAATAGAAATTTTCTATCTCTCTAGTGGATGAAAAAAGAGCAACAGGATAGTATATCCACATCACATGGGAATCTCATTTTAAAATTCTTTCTAATGACAGTGAGAGACTCTAGATTACTTGTTCCTGACTGTCCTTATGGAGATTACAAGCCTTGGCAGGTTTCAGCAAAAACCTCCTCTACCTGTAGATTTCATGACCTCCAGCAAAACTACAAAACCCTTTATTCATCCATAAAACTATTTGAAACTATATTATGTCTTTGTTTATACCTTTGGATTATTTTGTAAGATTTTCTTCCATATAAAGCAGATATTCAATCCACAAAATTAGAAGGAAAGAGCTCAAAAAAGAGAAAGAGCATTAAAACCTCTATTCTAGAGCTGCAATCCCCGTGCATGAAATCCTGGCCCAAAAAAAACAAAGAAAGACTTTTGATCTGCTGTATGAAAGGACAGCTACAGTGCTCAACTGGCCAGGGGTTCGTGTGCTTTCTGTGGTCATGGCGACAGATCTGCCGACCACTCCTTGCCCATCTGGGCTGCCGGTGGTGTTCTTCTCTCTGAGGACAGCGAGTTCAAACCAGTAATTTGGTTCAGATGAGCTAAAGTCGTATTTCCAGATTAATATGAGCCACATTCTTTCAAAACTGTACTGTCTTTCTTCTTAGTCTGGATATTTTTTTCACATCTTACATGTTTAAATTGTCTGGCTAAGGATAAAAGAGAGCAGTGAAGAAGAGAAAGACGAAGTTTTAAGCTCGGTTAGGTTAACCAATTGCAGTATGGCCCTTGTCTCTTATTTGATTTTGTTTGTAATCATCTTCTGAAATAGGATTAGTGTTTGTTAAGTCAAAAATACAACTTACCCCTTCATAAATTCTGTGATGAATAAGTACTTTTTTAGATCATACATCAGTTGAGTAAAAATCTACAGTTCTTTCTTTAAAATTTTAACACATACTCATTAGCCTCAGAGTGATATATTTCAAGTGTTCATTTTTTTATTAAGTTAATAATTATGGCTTCTCCCCTTGTCCAATGACAGAGTTTTAAAGACTTATTTTAGTGAATTTATGGTAATTGGCCCTTTTCAAGTCAGGAGGCTAGACCGAAGTGCTTTAACCTAAATTCAGTCATTCATTTCGTCACACACTCACACCCTGATAATGGTGAGCTAGAGTACATTTTAGCCACAGCTGACCTGGGGACCATTGGTAGAAGCAAGGCTGCCAGAAACAGGCACCACCGGGTCATCTGACCACCTTCAGCAGGCAATGCAGTTGAAAGGTCTTACCCACGGACACAACAACATTGAAAGTTGATGCTGGGGCTTGAACTGTCAACCCTTCGAATGCAAGGCAAACTCCTACAACTGATGACAGTGTTGCCGCAATTTATCTCGAAATATGTTAGTAAAATAATCTATTTTAAAGATTTAAGGATTTTTCATATGAACCTTCCACAGCGCAGGTTTTCTGGTTATCATTTAATCTACATCCTTAAAATCAGAGCCAAACATGAAAAAAGGAGCACACAATCTTTCTCTGCAACAAATATCCAGAGAACTGCAAAAATCAGAAAGTCTGTTCTTATAAAGAGCCAAAAAATTAGTTTAGAGGTTTCTTTAACTGTTCTATTAAGGTTCTTAAATATTCAATTCTGTTGTCCAGACCTGACATATACCTCGGTTTTCATCATATAAAGCACTTAAAAAAGCCATGTTGCTATAATGAGATATGCAAGTAAACTTGGCTAGTCTTGCCTCTACTCAATTCAATTCAGTATATTTCCATAACACCAACTCACAACACTTCATCTCAAGGCACTTCACAGAGACGATTCAATCAAATCATACAGGCAGGATGGCTAAAAGTTTTCTATCTATTGCTTGCAATGACGGCAGGATTTCCTCCTGGATAAGCATGTGGCAACAGTAGTATTCCTTTACACCGTGCATGCATGCAACAACAGTGGAAATGAATAACTCCCTTATAACAAGCAGAAACCACCAGCAGAATCAGGCTCAGTATGAGCGGCCTTCTGTCAAGGCAAACACGCGGTTCAAGGAGATGGAAACAGATATATGCAATATTGAAGCACTGATTCAAAAAAGAGTTGGGACAGTAATTTAGAAAAGGTAGTGGGGACCTAGCTTTGTATTGTAGGTGGCTCTGGCTAAAAAATAAACAATTAAGCAGATGGGCTGTGAGAGCGTTTTCATGTCAAAAAGGATGAAAAAGAGGAAACGCAGTTGTTCATGGTAAAAGTTTACAGTTATATCTAGAAGAGAAGAAGGACAAAATACCTAAATATAGGCCAAACTCTATCGTCTATAATAGAAGTTGTTGTTGTCAGCAACCCAGCTGATATCTCCCTCCAGGATGGTGTCACAGCTAAACAGAACACTAGGCCAGAGTGAAAGAACATAAAGTTGTGGGTTGAACTAACAAATAATTCAGACTTTGAGAATAGAAGAATGAATCAGAATGACGAAAAGTGTTTCCCACGTACTCCAGTACCCTAAGCCTATAGCAGAATAACTATAGAGATACCCAAGGATAACCTGAGCCACTCTAACTCTAAACTTTATTAAAAAGGAGAGTTATAAGCATTTAATTTCCACAAGTAACTGGCACCACATTAGGATTTTATCTTTGAAATATACTTATATACTTATACTTACTTGATAGCCATAACATTTATGCTTTATAACCAATACCTCTTTGCTGAATGCTTTGCTGAAATCCATTTTGCTGAGCATGTCTTGCATAATAAAACCAAAGTTGAACATAGTATGTATCTGTTTTGATTCAAAATCCATTTTCTTTGAAACTTTTCCTCAGCTCTCCTCCAACGGCTGCTCTGCATGTGTATGATGTCAGGCCCGTTCAATCTTGTTTTGCTAGGTACTCTTCAAACAGAGTTTCTGAACATTAGAACTCAACAGTGTCTTTTAAAGAAAACATAAAATTAGTGGTCAATTATTTCTGCCCATCATGTCATTAATTCATTTATTTACCATAAATAAGTTCAATCAATTTAAAATTCCATGAAATCATACCAAAAATGTCCCGCAAATGTTCACTGACCACAAAGATATTATTTTATATTCTTTAGATAATCTGTCAGAATAGAAGGCCAAAGAGGGTTTTGAACCAAGAAAATCTCCCTTGAAACCAAAGAAGTCAATATTCTCTCTGTAAGTAAAGCATGTGTTTTCCTCAAGACTTACTTGTGTTGTTTTACAGCAGCTGTCTTAATGAGGTGCCATGTG